TTTTTTAAAAATAGATCACAGTTTTATAAAAAGTTTAGTTTACTTCACTAAGAAGTTTGTAGTTGGTCATTCATTCTCCCCGGGGGGCACTGAAAACCGGCGCTTCTCTAATCTTGGATGGACACATGCTTTGACTGCTCTCCCTCTCACCCCACAAGAACTCTCCTAAATATCTCTTTTTTCTTTCTCTTTTTAAATGTAGTCATTAAGCTAATACTTAAATTATTTATGTCTAGTGAAATAAATGATTTGGGTTTGAGTTTGAGTATACGTCACTTGGTCGTTTTTGTATGGAGATCCACTGGTTTGTCTATCCTGAGGTTAACTTGAGAACGAGTGAAGTTCTCTACCCGTATAAACTTTCATCCGTGATCCGTGGTTTGTGGTCAGACGGAGTTTTAATAATCTGACCGCCCATTTAATATCTAATATTTAAATAAAACACATTAACGGTTTAAAACGCGATATATATTAGTTAAACTTATACGAAAATTATTTTGAATACGGCCCAACGTTTCGGATACTTTGTTACTTTTTTAGCAGCCGTGGTCACGGAGAGACTTATAAAGTGTGTCTCTGACGTCAAAGTAAAAAAACTGCTACGCTAGCGCCATCTGTTCCGTCGAAGTTGGTATTTGGCGAAATTGGCCGGACACAGGCACCGTTAGTCAATACTGTAACAATTTTCATATAAGTTTAACTAATATATATCGTTTTAAAGGCGTGTAGATGTAAGCTTATTAATACTTTTTCAAAAGTAATCGTAGCCTAGTTGCTTATGAATGTCAAAGGCAGTACTATAACTTTACTACCGTTTCATATCTATTTGGGGCGAAAGCGATACTATGAGTGGAACGGTGTTTCCTGAATTCAATACTATCGTAGAATGCAGTTTCACTCAGCTGCTTGATAAGATTGTAAAAACAATAATTATACTTAATTGTTTTTTAATAAAACACTTTATAGGTTTAAAAGGAGATATACTTATTAGTTAAACTTATTTGAAAATAATTTGACTTCGGCCCGACGTTTCGAATGCTTTGCAGAAGCCGTGGTCACGGTAATATATAACGCGTTTTAAACCGTTAAAGTGTTTTATTTAAATGTGTACTACTCGTGTAAACTATAGATAGTGTATACCTACTTAATTGTATTGGATTCTATCAGTGTGATTCTGTAGGTTTTCGTCGCTTTTTATATCACAGCTTTACATATTGTTAACTAACTGGTCCGGCAAACATTGTTTTATTGTTTGCAAGATAGATATTCATACAAATTTAATCAATTATTGGTAATAATTCTACTATTTTAACCAAATTTGTTTACAGTAAAGACGGTTCTTGCGAGTTAATTTTAAAAGATAGACTATACTATCGCCGCAGACATTTATTTAGATCGTTTAAAGAGAATCACATCAAATATTTTCATTTATAAACGGCAGTCCTCAATGAGGAATAATCTCTCCCCAATTTCCATTATTTTTGCGCTCCTATTGGTTGCAGCGTGATGTTATACACCAGTAGTTCCCGAGATTAGCGCATTCAAACAAACAAACTCTTAGATAATAGTTGTGTCGATGTAAACATCGACACAACTATTTAAAACCTTTTGTAAACGTTTTTGTTATTATTAAGTCAGATCTTTGATAGCTTTAAAATACGTTTGAACATGTCGGTGGAATTATACAAAAGGTTTTATTACTAACCTAAGTACAATAATAAAGGTAGAAGTAATTTTTTGTTGTTAGTTTTTTGCTATGGGACCACACAATTGTCACAATTGAAATAACAAGTGGGCTTATTTTTTTTTGTTAGAATAAATTACAAATATGATGACGGAAATGATATTTAGATTATTATGAAAACGAGCAGTAATTATATTGTAGAAAATAATTTGACAGTTAGTGGGACAACTCAATGGTAATACGCCAGCAAGACTGCGTTACTAGCGAAAGGTCCCGCGTTCGGTTTCCAGCGAGGCATAAATAGTTTTAGAACAGTCACAAAACGAATAGGGACACGGAAATATGTCTGCCATATGTTTACACTATTCAACTCTTTTTGCAAGTTCTCTACGAGTCTATAGCAGAGAAAACAATTATTACTACTTAAATGACTTCTATGTCTCTTTTACTGATCAATTTTATTTACACGCCTATTAATGCCTATGCCTAGGCTATATAGCCAATTAATTATTTATCTCATCCCCGGGACTCGAAGTCAGGACCACTCGTGCTCAACGCCTACTAATACTAATACAATAAATTTTCTACTATTTCATGAGATAATATATTTTACGCGCATGCGAACTGCTAAATCATCTACTAGTTTGTAATGTTTATGTACATATCGAGTATATGTATATACAAATTACAGATTATAATATATAATATAATTCATCTACATGGAGTCTATGGATCTGTGTGGAGATATATTTTCGCACCTTGGTCCTTGCAAAATCTAGACAGTCAAATATTAGGTCACTTCTTAAAATCTAGGCTTTACACTTACGAAATAGCTAACGTAATGTTAGAACTTCAACCAATGTTACACACGCAGATAAAGCAAGATTAAGCTTTAAATATTTGAAACTTTTGACAAAAAATTAAATATATTTTGGTTATTTAAATATATATATTTTGTGATTTATTAAGACTCGTTGTCATGATAAAAAACTCAATATTAAAATATTAACTATTTTACCTCATTGAAATAATAATTCTTCCTCCATGTTATATTAACATAAGATTAAAATAACTACAGCTTTTTAACGTGAAGCATATTTATACATATTAGCCATAAGAATTCCCAAAATTTTTGAAGTTAGCTTTTGCTTTAAATCTATTAATGTTAGATAGAGGATTTAAAAGTTAAACCCACCACGCGGCTTCAGTATGGGTAACGGTTACCACCAATTAATTAACGATGGTAGTTGGGCTTGACTCGTAATTGTCGAGGTACGGGGACACGGGTCACCCTCTTTGAAATGCCATTGAAATACCGAACAACTAGTAGTGTCAAGTAATTATCGTACACTAGGTGTGCCCGCGACTTCGTTCGCGTGGGGATTAAAATTTAGTTTGTTAATATCTTCCTCAGTTCTATAAATTCTAGCTTACCCGGCGCCACCCGTGTTCCGGTGTTCTTGCGAGTTGCGAGAGTCTTAAACGATAGACATATTTTGTTACAGACTTTTTTGTAGATTATTCAAAGAGGAATAATACTTTAATACATACTGTTTGGTCTTTTAAAAAACATATAGTCTAAAGCCTTCATCAATAAATAATTCGTCGAACATAAAAAGGAATTTTCAATTAGGACCATTTGTTCCTGAGATTAACACATTCAAACAAACTCTTCAGCTTTATAATGTTAGTATAGATTGACTAGTGTAATTAAATAATAACTTCAATTAAAACACTTGCAGTCTAGCATACCAAGTGGAACAAATATGATTCGATAATAACCAATCGATCAAGTTGTGCGTAGTGGCAGAATATTAATATGAGGATGTAAAAAGCAGTTTAATATTAATTTCGCGATCGTGGACACGCTAAAGTAATATATCACAGAAATCGTTTTTAAGTGGTTATAAAAGTAGTCTAAACAAGTATCAACTTAAAAAAACTTTTAAGTTAAACGGTTTTTTTTTGTGCACTGAAAACTACAAAAATTGATACCCATATTGAGGGGTTAAGGAAAAATATGTAATCCGCCATTTTGTATCGGCGGCCATCTTGGTCATCTAAATTAAATGTGTGTTCCAAATTTCAGTTCAATGTGACAATGGGAAGGTGCTTAAATTTCAATTCCTAAATTTGACCCAAATAAATAAATTCCGTACGGGTCGAGCTAAATAAAACCGTTTATATATATCCGTACGTCACAATGTTAGTTATGGTACCTCAAAACTTGTTGACACTGTTTATGAAATTTTATATGCAGGAAGTCTGAGAATCGACACTATTTTTCACATCCATAAGAACACATAGGTGTAAAAAAATCGTGAACTCCAACAACGTGGATTCATAAATATTTAAATTTGTTGAATATTTTTTTTATAATATAGCACTTTTTATTTTTATATACAACCGCTAATTTTCACCCCTCTATCACAAGTCCTCTTTAAAAGTAATTTAATTTATGTTATTTTTTAATACTTTTATCGTATCGTAGTAACACACAATACTATGTATTTTTTATTACATACAATTAGAAGGTTATATGGCAAAACAAAGTATTAATTTATCGAAGCTATAGTAGATCAATGGTTAAACGGTTCCCGGGATCGAATCACGGGTACGAAAACACATTACGGTATTGACTAACTTAACTAATGCAGAGTAGATCTATGTCCAATATAAGTAAAACAATTCACTAACATCTTACTTATAAATATTTTAACACGAGAATACTATGATTAACACTGAATAATACACGATTTTTTCCATCATAAAAACTTTAAAGATAGTTAAAAAACACGTATCACGTTTTTAACAGTAATGTGTGAGCCAAAAATGGAGGAAAATTACATGGAAAATTCTCATGCACCTAGGGTCAAACATGAAAAAAAAAACCGTTTATGTGACTCACGTTTGTTTACCATGCATATTATAATACTTGTTTACTTTTTACGATAGAGGAGGACACATCTTAACAAGATGCCCTGTCGTCTTATCTAGGCTGTGGATATTCGAAATCCACAAACCAAAACACGTGGACGGTGGTTCGAGACCCGGACGGAATTTCGATATTCCTACCACCCATTTAATGTCCACATGTCCAGATGAACTCCTACATGTTCTAGAAAAATTATAAATCGATTAGAAACGTTGGTGGGACTCGATGGGGATCGAACCCACTTGATACGTCGCTACCATTACAGCGACGAGCTCTTTCTGAAAATTGTGTTCATTTATACTGAGTCCTTGCAATTCCACCTTCAAACTGTGCCCTTGTTTCAGATTAGTTTTATAATGAGAAGCTTGTAAGACAGGGAAAATGGAACTGCCTCTATATTCGCCCGCAAGGAATGCAAATTTATCCCATCTACCCCAGCGGCCGCCAATCAATCTTAGCTTCCAAGATCTCTCCTACACTGTCTCCAATGGAAAAGGTAAGCGTCAAGATCAGATAAGGAGCTCACCTGTATCGTTGTTACATAAAACAAATATTATACAAACAAGACGACGCTGCGAGTCACTTTTGTAAGGACCCAGTCAGTCCATTTGGACTATTATTATTTATAACGGTGACGTAACAGATGGCGCTAGCGTAGCAGTTTGACATTAGGACACCCTCAGTCATCTGGGGCGACGGTTGTTCAAAGGCAGTAGTAATCGGGCTGTAGTTAGAATAAATAAAAAAATAATTAGGTTATATTTAAATACATAAATCTTAAATGGTACGTATGTATGTAGAAACTACATATGTATGTAGAGGTCTGTTCAACTAGTTGCCTCGCACTAATACACAATTGACCAGTGAAACGGACACAGTAATATGTTCGCCCGTATTACTTTTATGTTCGTTAATATTAGTTTTTCTTGGTCGTCATTTTCATTTGTTTTTTTTTCTAAAGCGCGTAACTTAAAAAACGTTTAACAGTTACCAAATATGGTTTTTAGATAAATCCTAAATTTACACAAGGAATTTTCCATTCTATAAGGCTTCTTACAGTATTGTTTTTTTTTATAATTAAACTTTTCAAACCGTTAAAATTGCGAAAATATAACCTCACTCATTTTTATGTATTTCCGCCCCCAACGTTTCGGTCACTTTGCAGCAGCTGTAGACAGAGAGGAAAACATTTTCTTTTTAATACGACCTAGGCGAGCGAAGCCGGGTGTATTAATAATAAGTCTCTATAGATGGACACATAATATAACGTCCAATACATATTCTTCCCAATAAGTCAGAGTAACGATCGTATCTAATTGAGTAATTAAAAATATATCCTTCGTCATTAAACCGATGCATAATTATTAAAATTACGATATAAAATATAGTTCTTGAATATAATAACTGCATCGTAGTAATTACATAATTGTTTTACAATTGGTTGTCGAACACGGTAACAAAATAGCGACGTTTTCCTTAAAAATTATTAACAATTATAAATTGTAAAGTAGAAAGTAAAGTATTGTCTGTAGTTTACGCGAGTCGCAAACATTTAACGGATAAAAACGCGAAATGTATTTGTTAACTTATTAATAATTCATACCCCCATGACTTAAACTGACATTGAGAATGTTACAAGGTTGATTTGAAAGAAATAAGAAAAAAAAATCTAGCGATAAACGGCGGCCTTATCGATAAAAACTGATTTCTTCCAGACATCCTTGAAGATGAAGCTTTACTTAAATGTATCTATATATGTTTTATCTAAAGTAGATCTAATTATGATATATATTATACCTGATACGTATAAGGGAAGACATTTTAAACCAATAGTAAATAAAATTTGCGACGATCTTTTCTTTGGAGAAAATTTAATTTTCCTTTGGATTTAATATCGTAACAATGCCCCAGGTCAACGAACTCATGGTAAGTATAATATGAGTTAGTGATCACTGATCAGTATCCAAGGTTGGAGCTAATTCTAGCCACGGCGTTAGCCAACCGTTTTAGAAAGCTTACACGTGATTGCGCTGGTCAGGCCTAAAATATTTCCGTTGAAAAGTAAATAAAACGAGGTGTTTGCATATTTTCGCGAATATACTTCACATATAATGGAAGATATTTTTTTTTTAATAGAGAAAGAAGCATAGACAAGCAAAGGGTTCATTTGCCCCCCAGGGCAGGATATTAGGAGATTTACTATCTGAAAGTTAAATATTGTCTATAGTTTACGCGAGTAGTACACATTTAAATAAAACACTTTAACGGTTTAAAACGCGATATATTAATTAAACTTATTTGAAAATGATTTTTAACTTCGGCCCGTCGTTTCGGATGCTTTGCAACATCCGTGGTTACGGGGAGGTCCGAAACGTCGGACCGAAGTTAAAAATCATTTTCAAATAATTTTAACTAATATATCGCGTTTTAAACCGTTAAAGTGTTGTATTTTGATCTGAAACTTTAATCGCGATTAAACTTAACGGTTTTTTAATTTATGGTGCGTGTTTCGTGACCTGGTTAAAATTTTTCCATATTCCTATCACCCGTTTAATATCCAGATTTCCAGATGAAGTCCAACATGTATCAGAAAAATTATAAATTGATTAAAAGCGCGTTGAACCCAGGAAGAATCAAACCCGGCCATACGTCGCATTAAACCAACGAACACGTCACACATTTTGTTATACTAGCCGTTACCCACGTTTTTGCAGCGTACGCAACGGGAGCTCCCAAAAATGAATAATTTTCCATGTTTTTTGCACAATTTTTCATGTTTACTCGCTTCTATATACAACACTAGATTGTAAATACAAAGCATTAAGTACTTCCTGAGATTAGCGCGTTCAACAAAACAAAATATTCTGCTATGTAATGTTAGTATAAATGAGATGGCGAATGCCGTTGTACGTAGGTTTGAAGTTCGACTCGAAAACGTGCATCAAAATCTATATTATATGTATATCTATATTGTAAAATATTATCGACCATAATGAGCGCTCGAGAGAAAGTTTCGTCGAGCACGTTTTCGCCAATGTGAGTAATTAGGTTAGGTTAGTAAGAGATTTGCCCATTTTTCTCGTAAACTAGGTTTTCGATTCGTAATAAAACTTTTTTGACCGTTTTAAATGAAAAATCACCCCCCACTTGATCATGGTTGTTGCAAAGAATACGATACATAGGGTTAATTAATACTGTTAATTAATTAGTATATTGCGCGTTTTAACCCGTTCAATGTTCAAGATATTAAATGTATTTAAATCAATTTTAATATTATAATAAAAATCCTTTTGTGTAAAATATATCACGTTCCTTTCTCCACATGTCGAAGAGATAAAAAACAAATAACTTTGCCTATAAACGTTTTTACATCAAACACTTATTACCGGGCCGCTGTTTCCCCCTTTGACCCCCCGGATTTACGGATACTTTGGAGTATCCGTGGATCCGGGGGACAAGTAAAATAATTTGTAAACAACACACGTCGCGTCAAAAACCGTTAAAATTGTTCTATTTAAATGTGTGTTTGTTTTGTTTAAGTTTAATACTCGTGTAACTAGACACAATATAGTTCTATGTTATTTGTGTTTCCTGCTAATATCTAAAACAATTGAATACCGCATTTACTTAAAATTGACTCATAAGTGGTAATTTTTAAAAGCAACAACATTTTACATAGTGCGTAGGATTTTGTAAAAAATACTCGATAGGCATCAAATGGCATATTCAAACAAATAGTACAAATGAATGAATACAACAATATTTATTCAAATTCATTCCCGTAATTCACAAGTACGTGTCGAAGGTACCTACGTCATTTCTACTTGTTGCTCGAAGATTGTGAACAAATGAAAGACATATAAGCTGAGTACAGACCAAATGTTCGCAGTCTAATACGAATATTATAAATCTGAAGATTTTGTTCGTTTGAACGAGCTAATCTTTGGAACTACTGGTTCGAATTGAAAAAATCTTCTTGTGTTGATAAGAGAATTTATCGAGGCTGGTTTTAGGTTTAATACTGTCTATAGTTTAGGCGAGTAGTACACATTTAAATAAAACGCTTTAACGGTTTAAAACGCAATATATTAGTTAAACTTATTTGAAAATGATTTTTAACTTCGGCCCGACGTTTCGGATGCTTTGCAGCAGCTATGGTCACGGGGAGACCAAATAAGTTTTAAACCGTTAAAGTGTTTTACTTTAGATCTCTATTTAATCATTAAAAGCCTAAAAATCCCAATAGCGAACGCATCTGAAGTTGTTAGATCGCAAGCAAACCTTTACTAACTAATATACAATAGAAGTAACGTCGCGAAGGTCATCATTATAGAGATTTTCCTTTAAATTGTGACTGCGTAGTAATGTCTAAAGCTCAAAACGTACCGTGTTTTGAAGCTGCGCATACGACTCACGTGCGCCCTACTTACACCAGCACGTGAACGCACTACCGCTCTATTGATCACTTCCACTTGGTACTTGTTAGTATTCATTACTAGTTTTAAAAAAAATAATTATTTTCACCCATGAACGAAAATAAGAATTTTTTCAGCAAACACAACGACGAGACATTTCTTTTTGACCAATAATATTTTTTAAATTATTAGGACAGGTTAGCTATCTCCATATTACTATCTTAAATGCTCATTCAAAGATACTTTTACGATGTATAAACATATTTTTATATCAATTAAAATGAAGAAAATATAGCTTTTTTGTGTATTTATTCACTTAGAACGTAAATATGAGGGCGGCGGTAATCAGGAATGACAATTTCTTGTAGCTTTTATACTAGACCGGAACCATTCCCAAGTTGTCATTCATATCGCTATACTTAAGTCACGTGTTGTGTTACTTGACTTATCTGCATATCCCTTAAACCAGGAATGCAAAGACTTATTAAGGCTAGGGGCCTCTCGGGAAAATCATAAACTGATGGTGTGCCGCCAGACGTATAGGTAGTAATAGACAATAAAGAATTGATAAAAATTGAAAAATAATTTATTAATTTGGGTATTATTTTTGCTGTCGGCGGGTAATCAGTATTCGACCGGCGGGCCGCGGTCTGTATACAAGTGCGTTAAACAAACCACCCTGTCGATTTCAAGAACCTAATAATACCTGATTGATGAATATATTTGTCTTCCCTTAACTAAATTAAAAAACATATTCTGTATACAAAAATGACCATTTTATAATATTTGTTACATTGGTTTTGACATAACCATTTGTATGCTTACATTTATTCCAATATTTAATAGAGTTGAACTTATTGTTGTAAGCATCAAGCATATAAAAATATATGGGCATTTTCCCAGTAAATAAATTTAGCAATGTATAGCGGTTTAAATAAAACACATTAACGGTGGTCACGGGGAGACACGGCTGCTGCAAAGCATCCGAAACGTCGGGCCGAAGTTAAAAATCATTTCCAAATAAGTTTAAGTAATATATCGCGTTTTAAACCGTTAAAGTGTTTTATTTAAATGTGTACTA